TGTCTGTGTGTGACTGACTGACTGACTGACTGACTGTATGGGCATGTGGTGAGTGTTCACACGTGTGTATGTTGACTGATATGTGTGTTGTCACCGCTTTTCTCTGAAAGTGTATTAGTTTATTTTTCTTGCACACCCCATAATCTCAAAATGTCACAGTTGAAACAGTAAAATTTGTTTGGATTTTTTATTTCAATTTTTTTGGTGGAGGCAGGATAGTGTCTTTTTTTTTCTTATTTATTCCTGAAAGTTCATGAAATGTACTATATTTTGAAAGGTTGGAAAGCCGCACCAAACTGTGCTCTTATAATCTAATAAGTGTTCCTTTTTTTTCCCCTGTTGACTGGACAAAGCTACATTGACGCTGCTGTGTTCCAAGTCGTTTCGTCCATGTGTTCTCCTGTGCTTTCATTTTATCCATGACTTTTAAATGAGAATATTTTCTATCGAAGTGAGTTGAACTCGGGGGGCCTGTGTGTTTCTCTGCAGTTTGTTTTTAGTGCCCCTGTTGCAGCAATTTGAAATAAAGTACATGTTTTTTGACTGTTGTGTCAATTTGGTTGATGGTTGGCTCCATAGGGTTGTATGTATTTCAAAGAAACACCATTAACACAAAGCACGCACTGATACGGTAACTGGTAGAACCAAGAAGTGAAAAATAAGATTGTTTTTGTCCTTTTTAACACACATGGACTAAATGGAATATTAATTTTTTTTTTATTTCATAATTTTTCCCAATGGCTTAAAACTAACTGCATTTTTATTATGTTCACTGAAAACAAACTGTCCATGAAGACTGTCAATTTAAATACTGTTAATGGCCCAATCACTTTCAAATAAATATAATAAATGTGCCAAGGGACGCCTTTCAAGCAGAGCGCTGTTTCAAGAAAAAATGGAGTGAAATCCTGGGCTTCCAGGTCATCATTCAGCAGCTGTCCATGGTTATTAGCCACCCAAATCAAATCAGCTCATTATTTCATGTTCATCTCCTTATTGTTGAATGTTCCCTCGTGTGCCTTTTGAACTTTATTTCAGTTTTCCAGTAGTCATGAATGATGGATGACCCAATGCAAAGGATGTCTATTAAAAATGTATTCACTGCTGTCTAATTGTTTTGTCGTGTGTTCTAGCAGCTGTTCACATGGATTAAGGAATGTATTGTTCATATTCATTACACTTTTTTCAATTAAATCAAGTTTGAAACAAAACTCAGAAGGCTGTACTTTGAATACAGTAAGTTGCCTTTCTGAAAAAAAAAAAATAACTGCCTTAATTTTGAACAGGTGAATAAATCAGTGTCACTGTCAACCTCTATTCAAGTTAAATAGTCTTGAAGCACTTGCTGTATTACCTTACTACACTGTTTCCCATTGTTTTTGTCAGACATACCTGCACGGCATATAGTTGTCCAGTCCAGTACGCCTTCATCAACACCACTATGGTTCAAATGTGTCTGATTTTTTAATTACCTATTTCAGACATTCATCCTTTATTATTACTATGTTACTTTTTAGCATCTTCAATCAGTTTTCTTTAATCATTTCATTAACCATAACTTTTAGCTGTATTTCAACTATTTGCCAGTTGCTTCAAGCAAACTATTTAAAGTGTTTATGCATTGCTAGGTATTTATTTAGAGGTCCAGTGTGTAGGATTTAGTGGCATCTAGCAGTGTAGTTGCAGATTGCAACTCACTCGCTTCACCCTCTGTTTCCAAGTGCTGGAGAGAAACTATGGTGGCCTCAAAATGTACAAAACATGCAAATGGCCCCATGTACAGCCAGTGTTTGGTTTGTCTGTTCTGGGCTACTGTAGAAACTTGGCAGTTCAAGATGGCAGCCTCCACAGAAGGCGACATGTGCCAACCATCTCATTCTAAGGTAACAAAAATACAACGATTCTAATTTTGATTGTGACTACACACCTATGAATATGAAATGAATAATAGATCTTCCTTAATGTTACACATTGGACCCTAAAACAATTTAACGATTAAATGATTGAACTGATAAAACCTTTCAGCCCACTTACTAACTGGTTTTTGCTACACTAAATCACAATGCAGTGTTCAGGTTGTATAGTTGACTCAATATGTGTATATTCTTTAATCAAATCTTAAATAAGCTGAGTTACTTTAATCTTTCCACATATGCTGTCTAACTGTTTATGCAGTGTCCCCTGTGGTACAGGGTGGTTGGGAATCACTTCCTTACTACACCTGATGCAACATGAATGTCTGAGACCCAGAATCTTCCCCAGCCTGTCTTCTATTTCACTTTTCTAGCTATATAATCCAGCGTCTGGATAGCTGTCAGGGCATGCACAGCGTGGGCGTTCTCTCTGCCTTTCCACTAATTCCTACCCAAACTGATACAATCCCTCTGTATTTCCTTGTGGGTAATTATGAGATAAAGGTGTGGTGCTGTCTGGATTGAAGCGGAATCAGAAACTACATGGAGATTTCTGCCCTTGATTGTAAATGGATTTGAGGTGGGCTGTCACTTCTACACTGTATCATGCTTCACAAAGACTTATTCAGGCCTGAACCGACCTAGTGGAGGAAGAATGTATCCCTGGCTGCTTCTGATGAAGTGGGCCCTGTTGCTACTCCTGGGCACTCAGACATAAGAGTCTGAGCTGTTGCCGAATGAGGCTTATAATGAGGCCCTGGAGATGTCTAGCTTAGACTATAGCTTTCTCTGCTTACCAGCTAACTGACGGTGACTGCCAATCAGCTGAATGGCAAAATAGAGTTTGTAGGCTTCAGTGGAATGTAGTAGCCAGGCCTTTTGGCTGTGGCGTGTTGAATTGACCGTAGCCTCAGAAAATGTGAAGCTCTTTAAGACAAAGAGCCTCTATCCATTTCTAATGGAGATTCCTCCTTTCCTGGGTTTCCTCCATTGTCCCACGCCTTGTCCCATTATGAACCTATGTGTGTCCGCAGAAAGTCATTTTACAAGCCACAAGTAAATCTCAAGTCTTGGCTATGAAGTCTCGAGTTAAGTCCCAAGTCAAGACAAACTTTGTGTTTCAAGTCAGTATGCGTCTGTCTGCTGGTGCACTGCCAAACACACGTTTCCTTCCATCTTATGTAATGTGACAAGCCTTTTGGTAACTATTAGGAGATCTTAAAGTTGTACCAAGAACAGTCCTTTGCAAGGTTCAGTGAGCAAGTAATTAGCCCCATTTACCACCAATTGCATCCGCCGAAGTTGGCACACAAATACTTTATTTGTTGACAGAGGCCTTCAGCCAGGTTTTCCTCCTGTGCGCATTTAATGAACAATATGGCACCTAATTTAGTCATTTTGGTTGCGTGCCATGCACTCCACCTGGGCAATTCCAATGACTTTGTAATGGCCCAGACATCTACACAAATAGATAAAACACAGTGGGATTTTTTTATTGTCCTGCATGGATGTAGATTGCTTAACTGTATATTAAATGTTTGGTGAAAATACAAGTATAATATAAACTTGTGTCCTACATTTTACTGTTAAGAAGAGATGAGCCATTTTCACAACAACACAGGAACAAATGTTTTTATTCACTTCAACTTTATGGTTCGCTCTAGTAGTTAATCAAGAGATTTCTGTGAGAGGGGGACTTGACTGTTCAAGAGGACCATCCATGCCTACTGGCCCGTGGAATAACGTAAGGAACATCATAAATGCAGGGATTTTATGTTCCCAGGAACAAGAGCTGTATGGATACTTAAAGACTTTGACCTCCTCTGAGCAGCCAAGGCTTTTCTAGGTATCCTGACAGAAACCTCAGCTCCTCAGTCCTATTCATGATTCTTTTCCCACTGTATTTGAGTTTGGCAACCTAATCTAGTGTTAGCGAGGGGCATCGTCTGGCCCTTCCCTGCTTATTTGGGGAACGGCTCAGAGATGGGTTTATTTGAAATACCGGGAGAGGAATGATCAGGCAGGCCTGAGAAGCAGCTACATGAAGAATGTCAAAACAAATCCAGTCTCGATCAGTTCGTTCGGCCCTTCCTGTCTATTGGTTGCGGACCCAGACACTCACAACCCACTATTCTCTCTCTCTACATATATATATATATATATATATATATATATATATATATATATATATATATATATAAATCTTGTATGATAATTCCCGATGGCTTTGAGAAAACAAAGGATTTGTGTGTCACTCACGCAAATGTGCAGTGATTTTGATTTTTATGAACCTTGACATGCACCCACTCGTGAAACAACTGTAAACTGTGAGTTAACACTAACTGGCAGTGGAAGGGAGGAGGCCCTCACAAATGCAGCCAGGCACATCATGCTCCAGCTCTGTGTGCTTAGCATTTGAAGGGTCCACACTGGATTGTTGTTAATGGGTGATTGGAGGAGATGGACTTGAAGCTGTGGAAAACATTCACTGAAAATGATGTCCTGTTAGTCTGTTAGGAATTTACAATGTGAGTCAAGTCTGGAACACAGCAAGCAGATGCCACTCTTAATTTTTTCAACTTTAAAACGAGAAATCCTTCCAGTTTTGAGGTTTCGACCATTTCAGACTCACAGTGATATAGAGTTGGGATTGTTGTGCTATATTTTTCACACTGAATCAAACTGTCCAGCAGTCTGGTCAAATATCTTCACGACCACTTTGCAAGCAAAATTAAAAAAGGTCTGAAATGATCCCTCTTTCCTGGAAAGTCCCCCCTGTTCATCTGTATAGTTCCTTGAAAAAAATGTCACCCAGCAGATGAAATGCTAACCAGATGTTAAGCTGCCATTGGCAGAGCCAGAGGGTGTCCTTTAACTCATAATGGCTCAATATCGCACAAGTTACAGCGGTGCAGCTCACACGTGTCCCAGCTGTATTTGCTTTAAGCTCTCCCTGTGAAGGCAAAGCTATCTCTTCTGATTGTATAAGTCACTTGTTTCCGTAAGAGGATGGAAAAATATCACAATCATGCTAAAAAAAACAACCATGACATTCCATAGGAGAGACAAGGCTTTAACAGTATACACTTGTGATTATCATACCTGTCTGTAATTTGTAGAAAATTGCTAATAATCAAAATATATCTTGTGTTTACTTTTGTAATTGGATCACATGCTCTCGGGAGATGAGGACGCAACTCTGCAAACTGCTTTGCTGGATCAACATGAAAAAAGTGAAAGTCACAATATTTGGTTACATTAAAAAACTCACAAAAACATAAAGAACTAAAGTACACAAATATTTTATGAATCTAAGAAAATTATATGATCAATTTGGTACATGTGTAAGCCACATACACAGTCAACTTGCACTGTGAAAACACTCTTTCCAGCATCATAGTCAAGTACTATTGTCCATATTTACTTTTCAGTTTCAGGTTAAAAAAAGAAATCCACGAAATTGCATACAATGTGTTCTGTTTTGATCCACATGTTAAGAGAGAAATGCAGTGTTTTTATAATTTCATAAACTGGATAAAGTTTCCACTGTGAACGGCACTGAGCCAGCAGGCTGTCCTTGAACATAATAAGTATAAATAGGGCTCCTCAGAAAGGTCTTCTTATCACAGGAAAATTAAGTACTTAAAAAAATCTGTTACATTTTCTTGTATATCAATTCCAGACTGTGCAGAGATCATCTGAAATTATACTTAATATACAATTAAAGCTACTGAAAAAATAGATTTTATTCATATTTCTATATGTATGTTTGAGTTGTTATCTTCACTAATTTTCCTTTAAATAATCTCTGTTCTATTCTAGCCAGTCCCTCCAAATACAAAGGACTATAAGTGAGATGAAGTCTGGCTCGTATTTCAGTGACACATGATATTCTCCAACAACTGGAACCATAAAATCATCACAGCCGAAATTGTGAAAACAGATGAACTTGGCCTGAAAATTGAAGCAGATACAGAATACTGGAGCTTTCTGTTAAATATCCAAACAGATCTGTCCACAAACACTTCAAGGCCTGTCCTCTCCCACCTGAACCTGTCTTGCTTTAGTACCTTGAGCTGGTGTTTGGCTCACGTGTTCAGGCTCTGGCTCTCTTCAGGGTTTGTCTGCTGGCAGACCGCTTGGTGGTAGGTATGTCCGGAGCACATCTTCAGGTGGATGGGAACCTCTTCCTGGCCTCCACTTCCACCTTTTTTAACCTTATCCTTGTCTCTACGGACCTGAGATGTCCCACTGCTGCCCTTTGACGAGACTGTCTGGCCTCTGAACAACTGTGCTCGCTGCTGACAAAGGCCCACCTTACTGAGGAGGATGAATACATCCCCCCTGAAGGCCTTAGTGAAGATGGCGTAGAGGAACGGGTTGGCGCAGGAATTGAGTGGGTAGAAGAGCACCAATAAAATCTTGGAGTTGGAAACAGTGATGAGTGGCCGGTCCAGCACGGCTGACATGGCGTAGAAGGAGATCGGCGCCATACACAAGAAGTCAGTGAAGATGAGGACAGCCATGCGCTTGGCGATGTTGGTATCCTTGGATCCAGAACGGTAGTGAGGGTTGTGCACTGCGCAGTAGATCTTGAAGTAGCAAGCACAGATAACAAGAAAGGCCAGGATGTTGAGGACCAGAACTGACAAGATGTAGACCTGAGCCACTGTGGACTGGGTGTCCATTGGGAGACAGATGCTAACCTTCTGATAGCTGCTCACCCCAACCAGTGGAAGCAGGGCCAGGAGGAGGCAGAAGAGCCAGCCACCTAGCATCACAGCCGCTGCATGGTGCAGATGCAGCTTACGATCCAGCCGCATAGCAAAGGTGATAGCATACCACCTCTCCAGGGTGATCACCGTCAAGGTGTAGACAGATAGCTCGCTTGCGAAGACTGTAAAAAATCCTGCAAGTCCACAGCCGGGGCCTGTCTGCCAGTCTATGGCGTGGTTGAAGTACTCGGCTCGTGTGTGGAGGTCTACAGAGGCAATAAGCAGCAGATAAATCCCCATGCACAGATCGGCAAAGGCCAGGTGACACATGAGGAAGCGGGAGACTGAGAGCTTGTAGTGGCTGGTGAGCAGCACCAAGAGCACCACCACATTTCCCAGAACAGCCAGCAGACTCACAAACCACACTGACACTCGCAGGAAGCCAAAACCCATTATGTCCTCACAAGGATTGAACTCATCGGGCACTGGTGCACACGACACCTCCTCTCCCTCCTCACACACCACATAATCGTAACGACTGTCAAAGTCTTGGCTGGTGTCCTCCTGGGGGTTCTTGAGGGTCTCTCCAAAACCCACATCCTCATCTGGCTGGCCCCCAAAGTAGGCGTGGTAGTGGAGGCTGCCGTGGAAGTCACCTCTCGTCCAGTCTTCCTGGGACTCTCTGTGGCCTCCATCGTTTGGCTCCTGGTCTGGGATTGTTTCCACCACACTCTCCCCTTGGAGGGAAGGAATGCGAAGAGGCCCCACAGAGCGCTTGTGATGCTGGTCGTAGAAAGCAGTCAGGTTACAGATTATGTACTCCAAAAAGCTGAAAAACACATACGCACAAATATGCATAAGATACCGTAGCCCTACATTTGAGAAAAAACACACCTGGCTTCAATCCACACAAGCACGAAGTGTCAAATCAAATCAAATAATTTATGTATCCAGTTGAAGAAAACCGATTCCTGTTTTGAGAGTCATTATTAGTCTGGCTCAAGCTTCTTCCTACAATAACAGGAATGAGTGACACTAATTATGGAAGAACTGTAAGAAGTTATAGGTAAACACGTCAGAGAGTTGATTCAATCCCTGCCAAAAACCACACCATACAAGTGCAGCTGCCCCACTCACTGTGGTAGATCATCCACATGAACGGACTACTAGAGCATTCCTTTGGACGCTGTTTGTCTTTTATACACTTGGGACACACTTCTTGGTGATGCCTCCACTTGACTTTTCTGACTCTCACAAGTACATTTGATGACGAACACAAAATGAAGAAATGACAAAAGCTCACCCTCGTTTTTTTTTCAGGTTTTTGAAGCCACAGCAGTGGCTGGGGTAGGTGAGGTTGGCGATGGTGAGGTGCTTGAAGGTTTTGATGGGCGGCAGTTTCTTGAGGGCCCAGGCATTGCGCGCCTTCAGCTCCCGGAGAGTATCCATACCTGTGGTCGGGAGGGTGGTGATCCCTGTCAGGGACACGTCTCTTTAAGACAATAAGAAAATTAAAGAATTTAACAAGATACATTAGAAGCATTGACATATATTTTTGTTTTTGGCTCTGATAATGTTAATGTGGCGATAAAAGGAAAAGGAGAGGGCACCAGGGTTACCTCCACTGCATGATAAGATAATCAGATCATTCTTGGCTACGTCCTAGCCTTACTGCATACTTTACTCCATGACCCCATCGGCCTTCCCTAAACTATTTCTTTACCTGCTGTCCAGCAGCAGGTTGCCTTCTGCCAGGAATGATAAAATGTTTGCCTGGGTCAAAACCAGCATTCAAATCCAGCTGTGCTCTTCTTTGCTGGAACGTACGTAAGTCCACTGCACAGGCTGTGGCAGTGGTCAGTGTAGTCTGTGGAAATATTGGATTTAATGTTGGTTTTGCGCCTGGCAAACGTTTCATCCTTCCAGGCAGATAAATGACATCTGTGGAATCATGAGAATACCCTGAAATGTTTTGATTTTAGGCTTTATGTTGGGAATAATGTTATGTGACCGAATCACGCAATGATGTGTGGAGTGCTGAGGTCACAAATGGGGCTAAGCTATGTCCCTGATACAGTTGATAACATGCAAGAATGCACTTACTCAATGCTAATAAATAATACTGAGTACTAGACTTTCATCTTACTACTTGAACCACCCACTACCTTTCAACACTGGAACAAACGTACTACCAGCAAATCTACAGAGGAGCTAGACATGATGAGACCAGAGAGCTCATAGATGGATTAAACAACACCCTCCATCTGTTTCCTAGAGTGAGCTTCTCACTCTTTCATCATCTTTAAACAATTACATGTGGTATTTCTTGCGCTCAGCCGTCACGCCAAAGCCAGCTCAACCTCATCGGGACGAAGACATGCAGGGGATTGACAATCTCACCAACATCCTGTGTGAGCCCATTATCAGGACATTCTGCTGTTCAGCACCAGCCACTCCCCCTTCCAGGGGGCAAGTACAGGCCAAGTTCTCTTTTGCTTTCTTTAGTTTCCTAACCCATTAAACCTCTAAGTCATTGTATCTGCTGATTAATTTGATTAAATATCAGAAAGCCAAACAATTTCATATTTGCTAAGAGCTCAATTGTTCTTTTTTAGTCCCATTTGCTGTTCTTACTTCTCTGTCCTCTGCTCTTTTTTCCTCTCATGGGGCGCATTGTGTAAGGCTGTAAAAAAACCCAGCACAGGCTGATTTTGTGTCAGTCTGATTTTGTCATTCCCAGATGTTTAGCTCATGACCTCATGGAGGTGACCTCACTCAGGACATGTTCCTCAGTGGAACAGAGGAAGAAGACCTGCACACGAACCCCATTTACCTAACAGACACTTAATGGCTAGATCAGAGCCATAGCAGCAACTAGATAGCTGTGGTAGAGGGTTTTGGCATTGAACACCTTTAAAAATTGGGACACGGCTTTAAAAACCTTGAGAATGGCAAAAAAGACGACAGTATCAAAGAAACGTCGGAAGTTTCTCCTTCTCACGCTTGCACACAATGGGTTTCACATTTCTTGGTCAAAGACACAGCTGTGGAGGAATCATTTTTAGTCTTTGATGATATGCTATCCCATTTCGCAGGCATGTCTCATCTAGTCTGCACATTACGGATGAGGAAATTGTTGAAATCTAACTTGACATGGTGTAAATAATGAAATTACCAAACTAGGCCTATTATTTATTGATGTAAGAATGGTTTGCTGGAGAGCCATAGTAGGAAAATGCTTACAGCGCATGCCACGTGGCCGCACGGTTACAATTGTCGCCGGTTAGATTCCAAATGACGACCTTTGTTGCATGTCATAGCACTTTCCGTCTCCAACTTCACTATCCCCCCAAAGAAATGTTTGAAAAATAGTTCTCCAAAGCTCACTAATTAACACATTATATCTTGTTTGTCTAATCCGTACAAAAGCTATTGATCTTCCATTGAACTCTAATTAAAAAAGCAAATAAGCAACCATATTGCCCATGTAATAGGACACACTGTAGCCAGTAAATACTCAAACGTAGAGTAACAGTAGCACAAACAAAGAAAAGTTGTATTGTCAGCGAATCAGTACTGTACGTTACACATCTATCACCAGCTTGCTAACATTAGCTATCCTTAGCTACTGGTCATACCAGACCTGTTAAGGCTGTAGCCGTACGACCCCTGAGAGTATTAAACTGAGCAAGGGTGCATTTATTTGCTTATGTGTTCAACATTTCATTTGTAAGAGAATATGTGTGTTTTTTCTTCTTTTAAAGTTACATAGTTTTGCTTCAACGTAGGCTATAGGTTTCAAGCTACAAGCACTGCATGTAACCAAAACCATACTTCACCAAGATCCAATTTATCAACTTTATCAATTTATTACATTTGTTTAGACAACAGATTAGAATTTGAATGCTTTTTTATGCAGTAATAGTAATAGAAAAATTGAACCTGCAAAGAACTGTCACAAAACTGAGTTTAACACTGAGATGATTAAGTTCAAGATTAAAAGATACTGTATGTGTGGTGGAATAATTGTGTGTAATTGCAAACAGAGTTGATAAGAGAGGCTAAAATTCCCAGCCCTTCTGGTACTTACAGAAGCATGGGGCCACTGATGGTGCCCGCGAAAGCCCTTTCATCCATCTTGGTGAGATACTTATTCCTGTGAAGGTCGCTGGACAGGAAAGCACAAATTTAAGTTTATTAAGGGAAAAGTTATCCCTCACATTTCAATCAGACTGACGGAGGCGAGGCATGGCATAATATTTTCCCAAGCCTCATCACTGCACATTTCTCTGTTTATTTTCTCTCTTTTCAGGGGTGAAACATGACAGTAAAAGCTCTCACTCATGTTGTTGATTCAAATTAGACAGTATAAGATGTGATGGCGTACTCCTTAAACACACTTCACCCTCACTACACATCTCCCTGAATCCCTTAAATCTAATACGGATAATAGACCTGTGAGGGGTGTGTTTGTCTTGGTCAGGCTGAGCTGGGATCAGTTCTCCCCTCAGAGCAGGTCAGACGCCAACACAAACACCCATGGGCGAAGACTCACTAGTAACCGACCAATGGCTTAATTAGGCTCTTATAAGAACCTGGGATGTGTGTAGGTGTTGTAAAAGACGAGAGGGGTCGTAAATTAATATCATTAATACCTCATATCCTGAATATGCAGGATTCCGGACCAAGGGGTGACAAGAAGAAAGAAAACATGACGCGACAAAAGGAGACAAGGAGGCGATTCTTACCCGTTCGCTTGTAATTTATCTAACTGAGGCGACTGAATAGTGTGAAATTGATTTCTTCAAGTCTGACACAGATCTAGGGTCCAGTGTCACTGAGTGTATGGGAATGGGGAACTCTTAATGCAGACTTCCTGATACCCTCTTTTGGAAACATATTTTCCCATGAGAACTGCAGCTTACTAATCAAGAGCTGGGCTTAGGCCCTTTTTGAGTGCATATGAGAAGGCCTGTAGAGACCCAACTGTGATCCCACTGCTTTTGTAGTGCAATTTTGGGTAAGGAAATACACATGCCAGATGTCAGAAATGATTTAATCCAGGCAAAATACTGAGCAACCTATTTCTTTTTTAAATATGTAAGACCTTTACATTGACTGACTTTGGTGTCCCAGTGAAAGATATTGTACCAGATACATAAATAAAAACTTGGGGACTAATTAACAATTAAATTATAAAATGCTGTTAAAACAGTGAAAGCTTATCAAGTGGAAAAATAACACCTAAACCTAATACACACATAACTACACACTGCTCTGATTATTCAGTGTGTCTCAATTAGCAGATGTGTGTCTGAAACTACTGAACAAAATTGTTGAAGGAATAGTTTTCCATTTTGAGAAATGTGCTTATTCTCCTTCTTGCCGAGAGTTAGATAGTTGGATAATGTTCATGGATGTATTATTTATAACCTCGAGTCGATACAGTGCCGTCTCTTAGCCTTGCTTCCAATTTGTCCAACTGGTAACTCACAGTAGTACAGCAAAAATTAATCTGCAGGCCGAAAATTGCATTTTCCCCATGAACCACCATCATAAAAGAGAGTCTGTAAAACTATTGACACCTCAAACTGCAAGTCAAATATGACTCTTTCTATTATGAATTTTTGATCTATGGAGGATTTATATTTGTAAAACTTTCCTCAAGCCATGACAAGCGGATAAAATATTGATGACGTCATCAGAATGTAAAGCCTAAGGTCTGAGCGGGGAACTTGAGGGCAGGACCAGCGAGAGCATAACCCCGGCGTATGTAGCAGGCAAAAAATTCTTATTAGACTGAATAGACACAATCTTTGGGTCCGGTATCCAGCTCTAATAATACATCCGTGCTAGGAACTGAGGGAAAAACAATAATCCCACACATAACCTCCACTAAAACAACATCTTGTTGTTACACTCAGCTTTTTGTAAGGATTAAATAAGATATGACGTGTTATAGGTCAACTTTAGAGGTGCTGGTAGGTCATATTGCTACTATGTCAGCAGTTTCCCTCAGTTTCCAGTCTTTGTGCTAAAGTCAAGCTAAGCTAACTGGCTTCTGGCTGTAGCTCCATGTTCAGACATTGGCGTGGTATCAGTCTTTTCATCTATCTCTCATTAAAAAATGAAAATATGCAAATATGCATATTTCCCCAAATGTTATCAAACTAACCATAAAAGGTGCTTAAGCAGTTCACATAACATAAAATACTTACACTTGATCTAGCTTGGTCCCGTTAAAGGCATGATGTTGGATTTCTCTGAAGCCGTTTCCGTACAGCATCCTGCAACAAAAAAATGTATATGGTAACATTCAAATATTTCCATGTGTCGAAGCTTCTTCACTGAGCAGCAGTGACAAAGATAAGTAGGAGCAACTTATTTCACCTTCTATGGTGATGGTTTCTGTTTCTGTTACATGCTGTTTTGTGGATTAAAATTGCAATCCCTCTTCCCTCACCCCCAAACATAACCACACATGTGATTGCCTGCTGAGTGTCTGTGTGCTTGTTTTTGCTATCTTTGTGAGATTCAAGGGAGTTCAGAGTGAGGACATGGTTTTAAAGTGAGGTAATTTTGGCCAATCCCCACTCCTTCTAATGGCTATTTTAAGGTTTGGATTGGAGCAAGGGATAAAGGACAATACCAGTGTTTAGCACTCTATGTATTAACTACATTTTCTATCTAGTTCACATTTCCCTCTATGCATTTTGTACAAATGATATTGATATTCCATTAGGTGTGAGCAGTTTCTGTTTTCTACATCCATGTAGAGTATATGGGTATATCAGTATGTGTGCATGTATGTGGTTGTTCTTGCAGATATCTTACACTGTCAGCACATCACTGGTGATGCCACGGAACGAGTTGGTTGGGATCTCAGTGATGTAGGGATGGTCAACAATTTCTCTGCAAAGGAAGACACCGAATAGAGAGGAAATGAAATGGTGTTAATAAATACCTTTCACTGGAAAAGTGGCATAGGGAGGAATGTAGTTGATGAATGCATTCTCAAGTATTATGGCTCAGTAGGAAGATTAAATTAGATAGAGCTGAGAGAGTGATGACACAAAGATGCAAAGATGTGAACAAGGGTTGATACATGGAAAGACAGACTGATTCAAAGATGCACACAGAAAGTACAAACTCTGCTTCTGTAACATTTTGTATGTCAATAACACAGAATCAAATTTATGAAGGGAAGTGGTTTTGTTAGTGGTAGCATTTCTCAAAACTGTGACCACATTTCCCATAATCCCTACAACACTGTGCCCCTTTTTCTTACAGGGGAACACAAAGGAGGATAAACATATAAGTGATATTGGTTCATTGCCCGTTCATTTGTTATTTCTTGTGGCATTGCAAAAATCATGAAAACCTAAAAGCTCTCTTTGCAGTGGAAGAACGCATCCATCTTTCTGTTCCTTAAACAGTGTAAAATATAGTGCATGGAAAAGCTGATAATGCCTCATCATCTTGCTGACAGTCTTGTCGGTTTATGATAGTTAGAGTAATGGCTCTGAATTAATTTGACAAATTAATTGCTGACATTAAAATTAAAATGCTACAAGTAGTGGTTTTAGCGAGCATAAATACCGATTAGTGTGCTTAGTTTGAAAGTTGTGAAGTTATATCAACTTACAGTATGAAGTTCATGTCATTAGAGTGGATGTTGCTCAAGTCAGGGAAAAAAGTAAGGCCGGTGTTGAAAATCCCCCTAAATAGCGAGCGGATAGAAACAGTCAGGAGATACAGTAGACACAACAGAGACTACACCAGCTCCTTTAAAGATGTTATAATAAATGGTATATGATTCAGTCGTAAAGATATGAGCTTAGTAGACGACATCATTTAATAGCTAGCCCAATTTATTTCCTGGCATATTTATGTGTGACACCAAATAGGCCAATTGTCTGGTTACAAGCCAGGGATTCTTAGAGGACTTCTTGAGATCAGTCCAAAGTTTTGACTTGCAACGGGGAAACAACAACCTATAATTTTCTAGCCTAGTCAAGAATTTGCGTAAGATTGACATCTTTCATTCTCTGGCCAAATACGTTGAATTTCTTCTAAAATGTTCAGTGTGCAGTCACTTTTCTGAAGTCGACCTGTACCACTGCATTAAACTCAAATGAAGCATGACTCAGTCTTGCCCATACTGTTGCACACAATGCTGCTTCAAAATGTCTAAATTATAACCAGACTTAAGCATTTTAAATATACACCCCTCATCTTTTTGGATTACCATAATGTTGTCAATATGTGGAATTCAATGACAAAAAGGATTTTTTTTAAAGAACATGAGAACGAAAATACTCACAGGTATTTGAGGTTTGGGAGATTTTTAAAGGCTTCTGGGTCAATGTAGGTGAGACTTTTTGCATTACGGATCTCTCTGAAAGAACAGACAAGGCAAAACATACTGAAAATGCACTTCCACATAAAAATGAGCAGATTGAGGACATTAGTAAAGGACAAGAGTGTGTGTGGTGGCCACTGTGAAATTATTTGGACACACATTAAGAAACACACACTGTCTTAAAACTTTTTGACAGAACAAGACAAGGTGCATGCCAGTGCACAGTGCACAAGAGAAGGGAAACTCGGTGCACACAGCCAGGCCCGGAAGTAGAGTCCAATTAGTGTTTCATTAGTGTGTTTACTCTGGTCCGCCCTGGGCTAGACTGAACACCTCTCTCTGCTGTCTTAAGCCATGTGGTGCCCTGGAACGTGTGTGCTGGCTCTTCTTCACACACCTGGCAAACCACACTTAGCCCAGGAGACAGACGCGGTCAGGTCAATGGGGGTCTCTGAGTGGGAAAGGTTCATCTTCCCAGTGCTGCTCTATAAGGTCTAGAGCTACACTGAAATATCATATCAGCAGATTCAATATAACCACAACATAGCCTGTCGAGCAAATGACCAAACTCCTGATTGGAAGCACCTGATGCCACAGTATTGGGAGGCACACAAATCAAACTACCCCCAGCTAAAGCCACAGATTACTTGACAGAATTAATCAACAGAAGGGCGAAACGTTCTTTGAGTGAATAAGTGTTGGGTGACTACAAGTATACTGATACATGGATAAAGGACATATAGGACATAGTATATGTTAGCTTTGGTTAGCCTGCTGTTAGTGTGTTTAGCCTTAGCCTCACTAGATATTGTAAATTGGCACAATATATTAAAGAGAAAAGGTAATTCGGCTGTTTGTACCGTAACATCAACAGAATGATGTTATATTGTCTATATTTAGAAAGACACAAAAAGACATTGAAAATACAATGATGGAAAGGAGAGAAAAATACACAATGCTATGGACAATGTTTTAACAGGAGGATTTTGTAAAGAGCAGTCACGTTTCTCTGCTTCATTATTTTCGTCCTGCTTCCCCTTTCACCTCCATGTGCATGCCTAGTGTAGGTGAATGGTAAGCTCATATGCATTTTCAGGCGTGTCAGTATGGATGGAGATTATTTCTCAAAATGTGCTAAAACACTGGTCCGGGCGGAGATCATTTAAATCTAGTGGTGTGGATGTAGCCTGAGGTGGCTGAGCCAAAGAGGTGAGGTGAGGAAGAGTTTGCTTCGTCATCAACTATTTGAACTCAAATAGAGCTTTTGGGAATTTGATTTCCTTTTACTTGGATTTTCTACTGATAAAGTTTGTGTTTCTGTGGGAGGTCTTTTCTTTCTTCAGCCATGGTGACTTTGGCTGGTCAGGTTAACTAAGCAATCTGAAAAGGTCTGCGCTCTTGGATCTGGCCTCACTAAAAAGCAGAATCAGATTCATGTAGCCAGTGTAAACAGTACCATCATCACGTAGGAAAACGGCCCGGCCTGCACAAAAACGTAGAAGAGCCTGTTCAAATACAAAACCATTAATTTCATATCCCAAAGGGGCACGAAGTGTGAACAAATTTGAAATAAAAGCGACCGTTTTATTAAATTGTGCTAACGGTTCTATTATGACCGAATAATAGAATTTCTCCACACATTGTCACACAGTGTGTAACATTTAAGGATCTATTAGCAGAAATGGAATATAATATTCATATGTGTTTTCATTAGTGTATAATATATAATATATATAATAATAAAATAAGAATTGTTAAATTTTTGTTACCTTAGAATGAGCTGTTTTATCTACAGAGGTAGTGGGTGCCCTTCTACAGAGACCGCCATTTTGAACCGCCATGTTTCCACAGTAGCCCAGAACAGACAAACCAAACACTGGCTCTAGATAGGGCAGTTTGCATTATTTGAGGGTTTTGCGCCCACAGCAGTTTCTCTTACTCCCTTAAAAGTCTGAGCTATATTCAAATAGTTGCGATCTGCAACTTCACCACTAGATACCACTAAATCCTACAGACTGGTCCTTTAATTCTGTTTCCTTCACCAACTCCTGAGGGGAAATCTGGCTCTTTAGCTGCTAAATGCATCAGTATGTTCATTAGCTAGTTGCTAACTTTGTAGTTGAAAACAGCTGCTTTTTGATGACAATGAGCTTAAACGATGCTATTAAGTTCCTCAGAGCTGCGGGAAACTACTAATTCATCACTAGGAGGGACTCCTTTCAAATTCACACATATTTGCTTGACTCATAGTTAATATAAAATATTGGTTGTTGCTGTTGCTACTGCTGCTGAAAGAAAAAAATCCACACTTTCCTTTGTGCCAGAGTTTTTCCCCACAAATGAGCAAGAATGCAGAAGCTTTTATAAAACTATGTGTATAGGCTGATCATTATTACACTAACTGAGATTTATCTAAATATAATTCTTAAAATTGGTGTTTTATCTTGACAGTGGTATGATACAAACTTCACCCAGCCCCCTCTGAAAATTCTCAGCTCCGACTGCAGTCCTGGATCCACAGCTGCTGTCGGCCTCAAGCAGCCAACAGGAAGCAGAGCATTAATTTGTGTCTGACCCTGAAGGAAACCTGAGAGAGATGCCATTATCTGATGTATGGCACTACACCACACCAATCAGTGGCAAATAGGCCCCGGAGATCCAAAATACACCACCAGAACACAGATACAACCCTCAGCTGGCAGTTTGAATTATTGTTTCTGTCTGTATTTTGATGTCTGGAATTCGGCAGCTAATAAGTAAAGACTAAAAAGGAAGGATAATTAAGATAAAAATGATACGCACACATGCATCAAGTCATGTCAGATTAATTTCTGTAGCTGTTAATTATAGTTACTGTCTCTAACGGCAACACATGCTCACATTTTTATACAGTAATTGAAGACTGGAAACAAATTGCGTATACACAAACTGCTGTGTTACAAGATGCTGTAACTTGGAACAAATCATTCACATAGGCAGGAAGTCTTGCAGTAATATATGAAGTGCTAGAAGGTGTTCTGCTGGAAAGTGTGTGGTCCACCCGGAGACTCAGCCATAAATCTCTATCCCATAATTGAGAATAGAGTGCACCTTGCTAGACTTTTTCCCCTGAGCTGCTTCAACGAGAGCTGGAGCATGAAGAAGACGAGGAAAGAAGCCAAATACAGGCTGTTGTTCGGCCTCTCTGCTCGAACATGCTCATTCCGACTGTCTGTTAAGACCAGGCTCAGTAATAATGGTGCACATAAGTTATTTCATCAAATTGAATTGTTTCTTATCTAATTTGCATCTAGTAATCCCACAGCAGGATCATTTTTTTCTTATTTGTTAAATTGCCAGTGAGGCAAAACTGCTCTGTACCACTCCAGGAGCAGTATGGTGTGCAGGAGAGAAATAAGCTTCTAATGTATTTCTTCTTTGCTTCCATTTGCTGCTGGCAAGGTTCAAAATTAAGCATTTTTCTCTCCAGAGACTAAAGGAGCAGCTTAATCAATAACGATCAATAAAGAGTGTGCCCTTTTCCTTTAGTTACTCACATGTGGGTGATTTTCCTCAGGCTGTAGAACGAGTGCCTCTCCAGCCTCTGCAGTGTTATGTCCACCGATATATATCTAGAAGAAATACACAAAGCTTATACTGAACTAACTTACATTAATTGTCTTTGTAATATCAAAATAATGGTGTTTTTTGAAGATTTGTCTAACTTGTAAGAATGAAGGTACTGTGCCAGGGTGCAAGCGAAACATAAGAGCTGTTTTCATAAATGAGTTTGAGTGTGTGGCTCTAAAAATGACCCTAAAGCCTCCAACTCTTTCCTGAATTTATCAACCCACCTCGTCTAAAGCCTCCAAAGTCACGGGTAATTTTACAGGTATGCACCTCACATATACATTACCCAGTCATCAGTCACTCTGCTCCCATTTGTTATTACTTGGGTAACAAGTATGCTCTTTAAATAAACCATGAACTTAGCACTCGAGCAACCTTAAAAATGACTTAATTACTACAAAAAAAAAAAAACACCTAACATATATTCTGTTAATAAAACATACCTCAGTGTTCACAAACTAAAGCTTGCATTTGAGAACTGACTGATATTTTGTTGGTTTTCTACAATGCAGTCTATCATTTTATCTGGATAGGCAACAAAGAGTCAGTGGAAACATTGGCTGTGAGCACTTGTGGTTGTTTTAGGCATACAGAAAACCACCTCTGTCTCCCTTCATGCATGACTTGGACGCAGACGACGGACTCAGCGGCTGGGGATCAAGGCTCAAGTGTATATTTTACCTCTACACAGAGACTTCACCTCTACTGGGAGTCTAAAATCACCACACACCCAAAAAGCTCTGCTGGAATACCTAGCCAATGTCCAATCCCCGCTGCGGTTGAAGGACCAACATTCCTATTGAAGGAACGCATTAGCGCTTCCAGCTGTGATTAGGAGCCAGCGGTGATACTAAACAGAGAGCATATCATCTGCTTGGGTGGGAGACAAAAAGGAAAGGGGTGGGTAGTTTGGAACTGGGATAGCTTCCCATTTTTTTTTAGCAAAGCATTTGAAAGACAACAGGTGGATGAGAGCAACTGTGGAGGGTTTGTGTTTGGAAAGCAGTTAATGAAAAGTGTACAAGCCTTGAATGTAATAATCCCACCAAATAAATGGGCACTCACATCCTTGAGATGTTGACCATGCTGGAAAAGGCATCCGCTGGCACAGATGACAGACTGGTCTCGAAAAGCCATCTGGTTAAAAAATAGAGATGAACATTTTAGTTGTCACAAACACATTTTACTTTTTTCAAGGACTTTTTGTCATTAGCAAGGTTTTCTTTGACATTTATAAAGGAATAAATTCCTCCAAATATCACTCTCACATCTGCACGGTATGTAACTGGAGCTAGCAGTCAGTTAGCTTAGCTTAGCATAAAGCCTGTCCAAAGCTAACACAATTTGTCTACCAGCACCTCAATAATTAGCACATTAAATCTTTTATTGTTGTATCGGTATAAAAAACTCTGTGTGTGTGTATGTGTGTGTGTGTGTGATAACGGCACATTGTGGTTTTTCCTAGCCTTGAGTCTCCAACGGTTGCCTGGCAATTGCTCTTGACCAAGGAACAGTCTGCCACATAACCCCACGTCAAAGTGTTGTTTTACACTTCAGTTTTTGTATAGATTAAACAAATGAGGTATAACGTGTTCATTTGTGTTATTTTGTTACCTTTGGACTGAGCCAAACTCGCTTTTTTGACTCACTTTATGCTAAGCTAACAATCTCCTGGCTACAGCCTCATATTTAATGTACACATATAAGAGTGGTATCAATCGTCTCATCTAACCCTCTGCAACAAAGTCATATTTCCCAAAGTGTCAAACAATTTCCTGAATGGACGAGGCTAAAATCTGGCACCTGGAAATGTTCGGAGTATAATGACATTTAACAAAGCACTGTGGAAATGCTCAAGACTCTCTTTGTAATAAATGTGGTTCTCTTATAAAAAAAAAATCAAAAGATTTCCCATATATAATTTTTGTCTTTCCAATTTTCCAATAATACTATACAATTAAAGAGTGTCTAGGTAAGAAAGGAGAAAAGGGGGAAGACGGATACCCCAACAATGACACATTTTAGAGTCAAATGAAAGCTTTCTTTGAAGCAAATGATGAAACAGATCCCCCTATTCTATGAACAAGGAAAAAAACAAAGACTTGGATGTGACTGAACCTGAGCTGGCAGCCAAATCAAACAATGTCTGGGTCTGTTTAGGACAATGTTTCAGAAAGTAAAGTTAAGACCTAAGTGTGCGAAACACACCTCCACATTGTTCAGCATAAATTAGTACCCAATGTTACAGTTACACTGTAAAACCAATCTCAATTTCTGAAAAAGAATCTCATCTATATCTCATCTCATCTTCCTACATTTTACCCACAAGTCAAACATTTTATCTTGTTGCAAGATTTTTGTTCAAAATTGGATAATTCAAAGAATTTCTCAAACAAATTCTAAAAGAGACTTTTGACTTATTGGTAAATAAGCTTACCTGTTTAGAGTTAGTTAGAAAATCATACCACTCTCATTTCTGTAGGGTAAATATGACGCTATAGCCAGGAAATGGTTATCTTAGCTTAGCATTAAAGGTTGAAAGCTCTATCCAAAGCACCTCTAAAGCTCAAAGCAGGTAGTTATATCTCATTTGTTTAATCCTTACAAATACTGTAAAAATACTGTGTAAAAACAACATTTTGTGGTTTTATGCAAGATGCAAGACTCTTTCTTGGCTGAGAGCAGTAGATTCCTTGAGTCTCCGCCAACTGCTCAGCATGTACGGATTTACCAAACAAGATATAATTTGTTAATGGTGCTGGTAGGTGGATTTTACTAGACAGAAAAGAGTAGCTGGTTGCCCCTCTTTGTAGTCTTGTGTTTATTAAACTAATTGGCTGTAGATTAATATTAAACATACAGAAATTAAAGTGATAACCGATCTCATCTAACTCTCAGCAACAAATGCACATGCGCATATCTCTGAAAATGTCTTTTTATTGAAGAGTTCATTGTGGACACTTTCCCCTTTACAATGCTGGTAAAAATGTTTCTTTCCTGTGATCTTGCTGCAGATTTTGTTGTGGTAGATCTGAATCACAACATAATAATAGAGGCAAGAGATTAAGATGGCAGCCACATGTGTTGATGTCAGGTCATATTCCACGGCCACCCTGCAGTAGGATGCACATTCAGTGTTTGTTTCACTGCATCCTGTGGCAACAGTGTATGTATCCATTTGGAAACAGGTATAAAAAGTGACTGAGCCAAAGCCACCATCTCCATGCACCTTTGGTTCATCAGGGGAACAATAGACTAATTCAGAGGCTGAGATCTGGTCCATGACTCTGAATCATGCTCACATGGGTGGGGGGTTAGTCAGTCAGTAGACACAGGAGCACAGCACCGCGCACACACTTTGACAAACTCAAACAAACAGAGGGACACAGAGCAGACCCTGACACCAAACACCCCTGTCAGAACCTCGGTGTTGTCCCCGCCGCGTTCAAACTAAATAACCAGCATGCATTTTCCCTCAAGAGCGCAGGAAGAAGACCAATGAGCCCATCTCGGAGGCTTAAGGAGAAAAGTACTCCCCCAATTTGTCATTTTGGATAGAAACCCAAGAAAACAAACAGGTTGGGAATCGAGTTTGAAGTGGGGAGAAGCCACATAATTCGTAATATTGCCAGCACTAGATTGACAACATAGAAGTGTTTACTATGGCTCTGTCACATTTTGATGTGTAATGGTCTGTGGTGACTTGTGGAGAGGGTCAGTTACATATTCTGCTGCACATTTCAACCTGCACTTTCTCCACTGTGATTGTATGTAAACTCCTGTCGTGTAGAAATACTGTCTTCTCAGTCAGAATGCTTGGATACGACAGTTATTTTTCGGTTCTGATCTCGTGTCCTACGAGTGTGGGAAGAAAAGTGGTTAGTTCAGGTGTCGGTGCACAATGATTTATCCTGTACATTATTTTCTTTCTAGGTTTTATAAAAGATTACATTTGTTTTCTCATAAATACACAAGTTAATTATTACAGAATGTGTAGTAACAGTAACAATTTCCATTACACGATTCATTGGTACAAATTAATAGCTGGGAAACAGTCAGTATTTCCAGTAATCTCGTGATGTTCAATGTCCCACTTCTTATTTTACAATTAATCCCAGTGCTCATCTGTTACCATTCAGGAAATAGCATTAGGATTTCACTCATCAGTCAGTTTTATTACACGAGAGGTCGAGGGACAACGAATATCACAAGTTATCACGTTTAAACTCCAATCCAAAAATTCTGAGGTTTTTGAAAGACTGAAGCTGCTGTGTTTTTCCCCCTTTCCCTTGAAGTCTTTTTTTCCTCTTAATTATTCTCAAATGGAACTCTCTGGGTGTTTGAGAAATGTGCTGTAAAAGGTAAATATTGTATTTGAATGCATCGTCCAGACGCAGTCAGGAGTCACGCTACGCGGGCTTTTAAGCGTGTCTGTGCTTTCCTTTCCACCTCTCTGACTCTCAGTGACACATGGAGTAACCTCCACAAGTACACACACACACAAAGGACTCCAAACTCTAAGTGTCCACATATGCACACTCACACACAGACGTCTGCTTTGCATTCACATTTTGTTTTGTGAATAGAACTTTTACGCACTTTCCTCCACAACAGAATTTTAAACTAAACTCTTATGCTAATAACAGAATAAGTGCAGAAAGTTCAATTTTTTCCCAACGTTTTTGCCCATAATGGAGCATTTTAGAATTACTGTATTGACAAAGAAGGGTTTTGAAAGCAGTATAAACCTCCACCATTGTTGAAAAAAAAGGCTTTAAAAGGAATAGTTTTGGAAAACACACTTTGCTTACTGAGAGAAAGAGAGAGAGAGAGAGAGAGAGAGAGAGAAGATTGATACCACTCAAGAGTGGTATTAATGTTCTCGTGTGACTCAGAAAGCTCATAATATTTCCCGAAATGTTTAACTTTTCACATGCTATTTGACCCCAAGACAAAGTTCCTGTCATGTAAATCTTCAGTTAAATTTGCAACTTGACTTGGACTTCAACACCAGTGACTGGTGACTTCACTTCGACTTTTGACCTGAAAATGCTCGATACTTTCCCCAAGCCTAAAATACACTGTAAAACCAGACAAGTTAATTTAACTAAAGAAATTGCTGAAACTGATTACATCAAAGCAGAGTAAGACTAATTAAATTTGGTAAATTAAATAACACAAGTAGCTTGTACTGTGAAAACAAAATACTTAATAAAAAGTTAAGTTAACTTAACTAGTTTTGTAACTAAGTTAAAATTACTAGTAAAAGCGACTTAATCAGGATTCTTTTTTTTAACCTAAACCAAAGTTTGTGTTACTTAAAGATTTCGATGTAATCAGTTTCAACAATTCCTTCACTTAAAAAGAGTGACAAATCAATTCAATTTTCATTAAAATGTTGATGCTCTTAATTCCCAGCAAGTCGACACATAATTCCCCAGATCCGTTTTGTTTGAACCCATCCTTATCAGCTTCAGCAACGTACAGTATGAGAAAATGTGTCTTTGAACATTGAAGCATGTAAACCAATTCTAGTAGACGACCCATATGAACTTGAAAAACTATGGCCTCTTGACGTTGGACGTTGAGTGTAAAGGCTTGAGACTTATGTGTGACAATGATTCAATGCCACTTCTGCTAATGTCTTGGCCACTACAAAAGAGTTTTCATTGGTCCAATTCACAGAAATCTGTAATGAGGCTGGACCTGAGTCAGTAGGACTGGACGTCACTCGCCTGACTGGGGCAGCAGGGTCATTCATTCCCCAGTGTGTGTACAACAAAATCAAACCTCCTCACGCCTCATCTGCTGGAACATCCCGCTCAGTACAGTCTATTTCGGGATTATTCGGCAGATATTTTTATCACGAGGGGTGACAGTTCAGCGCTTGGTGGCATGCTTTCATTCCTCTCTATCCTTCTGGAGGGCTCTGCGTAAACTCTGGGCAGGAATGTGAGGAAATCGTAGGGGACATCGGGGCACGTGCACATGTGAATTGGGGCAGTGATCGGGAGATAATTTTATGTGATGGGTGCTGTTGGAGGCGATGAAAAGTGGTGTTTGGGATGGAGGGATGTTCCAATAAATTGTAAGAAAGGAATGAGGATTATAATAACAGGACCTCCTCCTTAGCCTAAATTATCATGAACAAGCCCTACATCAGTGCTTTAGAGGAATCTTTTTGTAAGAGTAACACGTGTTAAATCGTTATCCACACGATAAGTAGGCAATCTCACCTGTATGCTTACATTATGCTTCATTAGAGGTGTACATGCTACAAGTCCATCTAAATAACAACAGTCATGCTAGCAGCTCTTTGACACTGTATTTTGCAGAGGTGGGAAGTAACTAAGTACAAATACTTTGTTACTGTACTTAAGTAGTATTTTCAGGTATCTGTACTTTAAAGTATTTATTTGGACTTTTTGATTTTACTTCCTACATTTTTAAACAAATATCTGTCATTTCTACCTTACATTTTCAATACAGGCTTGTTACTTTAGTTTTAACGCATCTATTTTTTTGAGTTATTTGTATTATTTTACTTTTATACTTTAAGTACATTTTAGACTGTACTTTTTCAATCAATACTTCTACTTTTCCTGGAGGCTTTTTTTTCCTACATTAGTATTGGTACTTCTACTTGAGTAAAGAATGTGTGTACTTTTGCCACCTCTGGTACTTAGGCACAGTTTTGTTTTCAGAGATCAACATGTTACAATAGCCTACTCACAATGACAATGCTAAAGGAATAATGTTTACCATGTTCACCATCTTAGTTTAGCATGCTAGCAGGCTAACATTTCTATTTCTACATGTTATCTGACTAGAATTAAACACAAAGTGCAGTTGAGGACAAGTTAATTACATTTTCAACTGATGATGGTGATACATGGAATGTTATTACAATTCATCCTGATGGCAACATGAATGTCATCTTCTGAGTACCATGAACAACTGTACCACATTTAATGACAATGACCATCCAATAATTGTTGATGCATTTTCCAAAAATGTCAACCTATATTGTAAAAGTTTGCACAAAGTTAAGCTAAGGCTGATGGAAATGTCATTTTCAAATTGAAATTTTGTACTAACGATGTCAAGACACTATACTAAAAACCATAAATGTCCCCCTCATGGTGGCGCTGTCAGGGGAACAATGACATCAGTAGGCTTTATGCTCTGGGGCTATTCATGTCTGTACCAAATTTAATGGTAATCTGTCCAATATTTGTTGAGACATTTCAGTCTGGACCAAAGAGGTGGGCCCACCAACCAACAGACAGACCAACATTACCATCACTAGAACTGTGCCACAAACATGGCAATGAATGTCATCAGTAAAAAGCGTAAATTCGCAATAGCTGCGACCACGTATGAACCACTCATGACATCACTAATGGTTCGATTTATACAATGTAACAGCAAGGTCTGATTTATCATTCAAGAATGCTGATTTAAATGGAAATACTCTTTCTAATGCTTCCACTTCTACGTTTCCATACAAGCCACGGAGTACCTCTGAAGGGCATGTGTTTCCATCACTCAAGGCCATGGCAAACTGGTCGCTCTCTATTGCATAATTTTCACCCTACTTAGGCAATTTCGGAAGTATAAAAGCCCCGATACATTTTTCAGAGGTGACCCTGACATATTACATCATGTCGGCTCCCAGGATTCTCGGCTGATTCTTTGGGGTCTCAGATAACAACACGACAGATTGGACACAGATCAGCTGTTGCTTGGGTCAATTTATTACAATTCTGTTGGTTTCGTTTCCCACTGCTAAAGAGTCATAAACAAAATAGCCTATTCTCCACTCTAATTGTATTGACAAGGTTACTTTTTATTGTTTATCTTAGATTTATCATCTATGTGAGTAAAAGAAGACGTGGATCACCTTGGGTTTTCGGGAATTGTGATAAGGATTCATCACAATTTTCTGACATTTATTTTATGGATCATGCAATTATTTGAAAAAATAATCAGCAGAAATTCAATATTGAAAAGAATCATTAGCTGCAGCTCTAGCTGTCAGTAATATTATTATACTGTTGTATTACTCTTACTGGAAAGACTGTTTGTTCTTGGAAAGGAGAGTGGGTGAATGTGATTCCACATCACTACATATAGTGTATACTGTAGTCCGATAGCTGGCAAATTAGAGGAGCCCATCAGCTGAATAGTGTCAATGTTAGCTTGGCTGAAGCTGAATGAATAAATCTGAGCAGGTACGTTTGTTGTTTTTCTAAACCACCTTCTAAAATGCAGGGCCAGTGAGGAGTAGTGAGCAGTAATAAGCACTAAAGAGCATCCACCTTTGTTTTCCAAAATTTCTCTCACCTACAGAGCACGTCTGCACTATGGACACTTTACATGTTCAAATACAGCCTTCTATTGAAATCCTCTGATCTGGGTTTCTCTTTCTCTCTCTTCCTCTATTTCACTGTCTGTCATCTTCCCTCATATCTTAAATACAGTACAATTGCAAAACGTAGGGACGGTTTGTGTTGTATTGTGGTGTACATTTTAAACGATAATTAAAGAGGTGAATAAAAAAAAAATCACAAACCAGTACTAAACCTGAACCAGAGACGTTAAGGGAAAACCTGCTGGGAAATTTAAGTTAAGTAAGTGCTTTATTGTATTATATTGTTATAATAGTAGATTAATAGTTCAGTATATGGTAAAAAATGCTAATTTTTCCAATGATCAGTTATTTATAAGTTTAGTGTTCCTTTAATATAGTTCAAGATTGGCTTCATTCCACACCAAATCAATAATAAAAAAGTCTCACTGATAACTGGAACATGGCCTGTTAGTAACACTGTGACAGACAGAAAATAAAAATACCTTAATATCTTGGCATGACTACTTAACATCACAGACAGTCCTCAAAGTCCCTCTGGGAACACTTTGAAGGAATATTCGTGTTCTTATAATGATTTTTCCTCGGGGTTAAGAGCACTTTACATTTTAAAATGCACGAAATAACAGCAGAATCGCTTTTACAGATGCGTTTGTACGCCTACTTACAGTGTCTCCGTGCTTGCTGGAAACCTGGGGAGAATATCAATGTCAAAGCAGGAGATTGTGTGGGTCTTCCACTCAGAGCACTCGCAGACAGCAGGGCAGGAGTCAGCCTCCGACACGGTGCTGCTGACAGGGAGGCTGACGAGCGCAAACAACGCGCATGTTATCACCTGCATAGTCGGTGCAAGATCTCCCCCAGACTGACTTCTGGTTCTCCACCTGATCCTAGTCCTCTTGGTGTCCACAGCAACAAATGTGTGTATCAATTTAAGCGAGGTAGTCTGAGCTGTGATGTTTGTTTTTAGTGTGTAATCCTCAGGTGGAGCTGCACAGGAGTGTTATGCTCAGCTGTCTGTGTGCAGGGCCCCTGGAGTTTCTGTGAGGTTGTGAAGGTGGGGATGCTGTAGGACGGACAGCTGCAGCTCTGTGGTGGGTTTGGAGGTGGTCTTCAACTTGAGGGGAGGACTTATGAGGCACTCTTGTGTTACACTCGAGAATAGTTGTTATTCCCCCCCCTCCCGAGCCGTGTGTTTTATTGAGGTAAACTACATACTCCAAAATATTAAGTCTATGCTCAAGACATGACTGAAGTATTCTCTTTTTTGTCTATACAGAATGGCATTGTATTATTCAAGTCAGTAAAATATATAGTCGGCTAACATAAACTTTCCATTATGCTATTTTTATAGTCTGACCAAGCAGTATTTCCAATGTATCTTTTTCATTTTTAAACGTGTTTCTATTCTTTTCTTTTCCAACTGAAGAGCGGCAGTACTGGCGCAAACGAATACCTTTGGACAATGTAGTTCACAAATAAAAAGTTCTCACACTGCTCCATCGTGGGCAGCCTACATTTCCCGGCATCCTCTGGGGCCGCTGTGGTCGGTTGTTTTCCTTCTCAGACGCGGCTAGTTCAAGTTGCCATAGCACAGTAAAGCTGAGGGTTGTTCTTCTGTTAGCTATCACTCGCAAAGCGAAAAACCAACGGCTCTTGTCTAACGTATTCATTGCGGTAACATTCATTTCCTCTTTTCCGCTGGACTTCCGGAGTGTTTTGCAGTTTTTACGTTAATGTCACAAGGCTAAATTAGTTGGCTAACGTTGGGTTAGCTAGCTAACGTGTACAGTTAGTTTGCCACTTGTTGCTAGCCTGGAGGAGCATCACCCACAACAATGGCCAGCACAGTGATTGATTGTGAAGGGGACGGTTTGAATTGTAGTGTTCTGCCGGTCACATAGCTTTCTGTCTCAACGGGTTGTTAAGGTAACGATGACAGGGCTTGCATTTCTCCTAGCTATGACGAATATATCTAGCGTTAACGTTACTGTAAAGAAACTCCAGAACCAGCCCAGTTTGTTCGGTAATCTGATTAACGGGACAGTTAACAGTGCTGCTCACTAATCGTCAGATTTGCATAGTCAGACGTTTTTCGTCGCCTCCACCGCATCTTGCCCTGTCCTGTCCTAAACTATGGATACTTCCAGTGGGTCGGACTCATACGACAGGACGAGGGTGCACAGGCCTCGGGGGCGTGAAGCCCACCGCAGACCTGTCCGGGACAGGGGCAGAGCCAGCGGGAGTGCAAGTGATGGTCCGGCAGACATCTCCGAGAAGATCAGCACACTGGCGAGCACTTTACAGGTACCCTGCTCTACATCATGAGACAGAAACATCTACTCTGATTTCATCCAATTTTAAATACTGATCATGCACCTGTGTTTTGTAGTCCTACAAGGATGCTGCTGTGACCTTATATAGTCTCCCACCACCTGCCATCATTGAAAACTTACAGTAGCAGTACATTAGCTTTCCTATACATGTGGGAATACAATTTAAGTGTATGTGTTTATTTGCAGCTTGCGTTGATAACTAAACCTATGCTAAATAAAGGGCTTCTTTTCTCTCACAGGACACCAGTAGGAACTTGACCAAAGTAGACCAAATGCTGGGCCAATACCGGGACCATTCAGATGATCAGGCTGAAGCCATGGCACTGGTCAGACACTTGTTCTAATAATTCAAATTTAATTGTTAGCTTTTCACATATTAAAGACACATATTATTTAATATAGGTATTTCTGTTGTATACATGGAAATGTGTTGATGTCAGCTTTGTTTGCACCGATTCCAAGACAGTAACATATAATAATACTATTTAAGTAATCTTTTAGTAAATTACTCATTCAAAATAATAAATAAATATATATATATGATTTTTTTTGTTTTGGGCGTATATATGTATTTATATAAAAAAAATATTTTTTTAGGATATCTATCACACCTAGTCTTTACCAGTTCTGTTTTTGCTTCTTAATGCTATTAAACCATTTTGTCTTTTCTCAGTTTGTCATTTATATCTCCTTTTTGTTTTCTGCATCAGCTCAGGGAGAACCTGGAGGAGTCGATAACTCAGCTGCAAACTCAGAGGCAGGGCAGATCCAATGGCGCTCGGAGTGCTTCAGCTTCGGCTTCAGCCTCCACTCTACACACTAGCGACCTGGAAGCTTGCTCAGGATCAGGTATGGGGAAATAGAAAGGGTTGCTGTCAGCTGTCTTTTCATTGTAGTCTTACTTCTGGATAATGTGTGAGTTGAAATAACACAGAAATAGTATACAGAAACACACAAAAAAAGGTGTTGTGCACGTTGAGTGAGTTTGTGGTCTTAGGTTAAGTATTTCTCAGGTGACTGCTATAACACTTTATAATATATGTACATCTATAATTTCAGATGACCAGCGCTTCTACCCTACTTCTCCACTGAGGGACTATACAGGCACTCAAGGAAGGAGAAGGAGGTCTCAGTCTGCCAGTGTACGCTTCAAGGATGCGAGCCTGACAGGAGAGGATGTAAGGAATCATGGAGACGGACCAACTACCAATCAGTGTCACTTGTTCCTGTCAAGTAGTTTCAGAAAGTTTCCACAAGAGGGTGCACTGAGTCAGCAACATACAGTGGATTGTTACGCTAATCTTGAAGGGGTGTTATAAGATTTAATTTAAATCTGATATTGTTTATGTTAGTATTTTCCTTTACAGAGGTCTATGGTGTGTTCAGGGTTATGCTTATGCTTTACACAGTGGTTACAATAAATGTGCATTTCTGTAAAAACAATAATCGGCAATTTTTTTGCTTTGCTTGTGTATAATGTTGTATGTTCTATATCTGTCTGTGGCTGTCACACATAGATTCACACCATGCACCAATCCTTGAGGGATCTGCGTTGTGACCAGCAGAGACTGTCTGATGACCTGGATAGAGAAATCCTCCGGAGAAATAGGTACCTTAGGGGAAAGACAAAGTCTGAACAGCAAAACAGTAAACTTCACATGACACACTGGCTACTACACAACAGAATTCACATTGTCATTCTGTGATGTTGTGATTTTTAAATCTGAATCTCCAAACAGTTACTTGCCATAGTAATAAGTAGGCATAAATATTCTTTCTAATGACAGAAAAATGATATACCAATATTTTTGCCAATTTGAAAAGTTTGTAAAATAATAAAGACTTGTGACAGATTTAGACATTAACTCATAAGAATAGGCTCTTTTTTAATTTAACCAGATAAAGTTCTATTTCACTCGACTCTTAAAGTATATTAAAATATATGGCCTTGGTTCCCTACATCAGCACATCCTTAAATAGAATTTAGATGCATTGTTTGCTTTAATACTAGTTTTCATGTCTGGATTATGCTTTAGGAATTTAGCACACAGTGATTTAGGCTACATTCACACTGCAAGCCTTAGCACTCAATTCTTATTTATTGCTCAGATCTGATTTCTTTGTTTATTATTTATTTTCACAATATGAAGTCACCCACATGACTAATCTACATCTAGAGTGACATAAAAGTCACATTCAGTCTGATATGACTGTTCACATTGAGGTCACACTGCAAAAAATCCAACCAGTATATGCTTCGGACCACAAATGAAAGCGGCTTACATCAGAATTGAAAAGATCAGATTATAATTTGTGCTGTTCAAACTGTAATGAACAGGTTTTGGCCAGTTGCGCCTGCAGTGTGAATGCAGCCTTAATGATCCACAGAAAGTGCAATGGGACTCTTATGCTGTCTCTTCTTAAGGTCTGCCCTCAGATTTCCTACATTATTTTCTGCACTAACTAATGCCTGCAGCATATTGATCTTTATGTTTTCACATCCAGTGTACATAAAAAGGTTTCGCTTGCGCTGTGAAAACAAATGTGTTTTCAGGTCTTTGAAATCTCCTTGATGACAAAGTGATAAAATTGTCATTGGAAACTTAGAGACGGCACTGGAAAGTCGAAAGGCAGCAGATCTTTCTTTCAACATGCATTAGTATTTGACATTTTCAAGTTATTAAAAAATCTCTCCTCCCTGGTGCTGCTGACCAGACCGAATTGATCCACCACCATATTTCAACATCTGAAGCTGTATAATTATGTTTAGTGGCGTCACATTATGCATTCACATTTTGATCAATGGTGCCCTGGAGTAGGATTTTTCAAAACGGCTGAGAACTCTGCTGTGTAAATATTTCCACTCCGCTGGGTTTTTTTTTTTTTTCTATAGGTCGAATATTGACAACAGGCGAGCGATGGAGAGCCTCACAGGCCACGTGACAACTTCCCAGAGACAGGCTTCAGTGAGTTGTAGCTGCATATTTCACTACCAATACTTCAAGTATCTAAAAGTATATGCATCCTAAAGTAAAGGACATCACATCACAGTTCTTGTTGAATGAAAGCTTCTATAAAGCAATATGCAAATATTTATGTTTCCTGAACAGAAATGGACAAATGGGGTCCTCTTTTTCAAATGTCACTTCAGTGAGTCTAACTTTAGAAGATATTTCAGTGTAATTTCCAGGCGCACGGCTCCTCACTGCACCAGCACTACTCTGATAAATATGCTGCTCCAAATGACAGCCAACATGTTTAATATTTTTTATCTTGTCACGTCCACAGACGTGACAAGATAAAGGTATTAACTGTCTTTTAGAGGTAGATACGATGCTGCCTGATAAGACCGGAAATTCTTGCATCGTGAATGTAATACTTACAGTCAGTTCTAGAGGATATTTTTGTCACCCACCCTTTTAATTTCCTGGTGTCTCATTTATCATATCTTGCTGGCATTTCCGCACCGGTGATGTTTGCGTGACCTGAGGCGTCCCCCCATCTCACTGTCTGCAGGTGTCGTCTCGTGTGGAGCGGCGTCTGCAGGAGCTGGAGAGAGAAATGCACGCTGGGCAAAGTAGCGTGGAGAGAGAGAGAAGGCCTGATCAGCGGGCGGCCATGTCTGATGAGCTGCAGGAGGTGAGTCTTCTCCCCATCACTCATCTTCTCTGATGCCTCCATCCTACACCTCCCCATCAACATCTCTCATGTTCTGTCACATTCAAGGAAA